CTCCAAACCAAATATTTAAGAACTTCAAAATCCTTACGGAATCAACTTTCACTATTAGCGCCAAAATGCTCTCGGGTTATCCAAAACCCGATCCGGACATACGCTCAAGTCCGAAATCATCAAACGGACCTGTTGGAACCTTCAAATCCGAATTCCGAGGTCGTTTACTCTAAATGTTGACTGAAGTCAAACTTGGCCTTTTAAGCCAACCTTAAGGAACCAAGTGTTCCGATTTCAACCCAAACTCTTTCAAATCCCGAACCAACCATCCCCGCAAGTTATAAATCAGTAAAAGCAAGTACGGGAAGTCTTATTTAGGGAAACGGGGTTCTAGAAAGTAAAACGACCAGTCGGGTCGTTACATTTATTTAACCGGTTATATTATCTACTTTATAACTTAAAGTTTCTTCGTCTACAAAAGATATATCTAAGAAATCTATTATGAACACCTTATCATTCTTTTCTATTGCAAGAATAGATAAACAGCATTTTGGAATAAGATTAGGAATTTTTACCTTTCGAAAGAATTAGATTGACTATATAATCTTTAATTCTGACGGAATTTATTTTTAGAAGAAAATAGAGTTCTTATTTTTCGGATTAAAAAGGTAACAAATTTTAAGAAAATGAGAGTGGCAAACCATAAGATAACAAAAAACTATTTACGTGGATAGTGCTTTACATCACCTACGCCACTATCTAGGAGTATTTAATTTATTAAATTTGAAAGTTGGTTTTTATGGAATAGGTCTTCAATAATTTGCAAAACTTTATACTAAGACTTTCCTAGCGTGTGTCAATTAGTTAAAATTCATATTAGAAAAATAATTAAATGACTATTCCTAAATAGTGGAGAATTAATTAAATTACGCTTCTTAATATATGAAAATAATCAAATGACTAATTCGTGCAGTGTGAACCATATTTTAAAGGGGTAGAAAAAATGAATGGCATTTCGCTAAGGGTCTTTGTGCTTTTAATATAATACTAGTCTTAGGGTACACGCTTCGCGCGTGTACCTATATCGATGAATATATAATTTTGACAAATTACGTTCATATTACTAATTAATATATTTAAATAACAAAGTAAAAATTTTAAAAAGTTAAATTCCTGAAAAATGGTGAATGTTCACTAACTAGTTCAATAAAAGAAATCATGTCGCACAAAAGTTCTTTGATGCCATATTATGATTTGTAAAAGTTTTGTGACAAAATCTTGTGAAACTTGTTTATTTCCATGATCAAATACTGAAAACAAAAATCTAACGAAAAAAACACTTTTATCACTTATGGATTTGTCAAATAACACTAAGTGAAAAATCGAATCTTGTTATCTTTTAGAGATTTTGCGAATGAAGCGGTTGGCAATAGTTTCTAGAATAAATAGCTATCTCACAATTAAAACTCTAAAAATGAGTAATATTTAAGTAATAAGTTATGACAAATAACTTAATATATAAATATAGGGAGTCATTATTTATTGGACTTAATGCAAAAATAAATTAATTTATAATTAATGACAATTCATTTAGAAACATTTATACTCTACTAGTTCATCCTTATTGCTTCAAATTTATATTTGTACCAATTTGACCCATACTATCATAATATAACCCATTTTGCTCTATTTTCTTATTTCTTCACCGCAATGCTTTCTGATGGAACTAAATTTATGTATTGTAATAGAGTTTTGTTAACTTAATTGAATTCATTTGCTAATTGTTTGAGAAATTAACTTAACTAGTCGTCCACCCAAGAAAATATCCGAAAAATATATAATATAATATATATAGTGTGCAATATATGATTATTGGCTAGCGACCATAAATATTTTAGCCGTATGGTCAAATGTGTAAACTTGTTGTTAGTGTTTCAAAGACTTAATTATTTATTCTTAATATTAAAGGAAATAAATATCTTTGGTTGATTCAAATTATTAATATTAGTTTATTCCGACTTAAATGAATATTTTTTTCTTGATTCATATTTGACATTATACTTTTGGGTCTTTTAAATAAGATTTTAATTGACTTCAAAATAGGCATTCTACATATTCAAATAAAGACTTTACAGTTAAAAATCTATTTAAAATCTTTCATTACTAAGTATTCAAATAAGACTTTCTAATGGGTAATAATTTCGTCGATTAAATTAGTTTTTAAATCCTTTCTAAAATTCTTATTTTAGAGAGTTAAGTTGTGTGGAAAAACTTTTAAGGTGAAAATATACAATTTTTTTGGGTAAGTAGCAGAAGCTGAAAATTTAATTAGAATCTCGACCAAGCACAAATTTCTGATTTAACATTGGTCAAAATTATATTTTAAATTTATTGGTCAAACACAAACTACTAATCTCGGAAAGTACTTTTTCTAAAGAAAGCACTGACCAAAAACATTTCAAATAAATAGACAACTATTTTGTATCCTTCAAAAATATGTTCTGCGTTAGATAAAATAAAAATTATAGATAATTTATTAGGATTTTAGATATTTGTCTAAAAAGAATAGCACAAGCATGTAAGATACAACGTTTGAGAGAGAGAGAAAATAGGAGCAACAACTTAATTAGACTTGTAAATTGTAATTAATACCTTAAATTTTGGTGATTGTAATTTATTAAAAAATATTTATGTGTCACATAGTCACAAGGTAGTTATGGATTTTGTTTTCAGAAGGATAGAAAATAAGCAATGGAATCTGTTGAGTTCTAATTGATGTCTAACTTCAATACCTTCGTATACAAATTTTGGACTAACGTTTCAAACAACTGATTTTTTAAATAATTTAATAGGTAAAAATTTAATTAGTCTTATAGTCATAACTATTAAAATTCCTACATAATTTAAATAAGGAATGATTTAAGAAGTTAAGTTTTAGTAGATTTAATCTCCTAAATATTAGAAAAATTATGTAAAAGATTATTCTGTCCAATATGAAATATAATTTAAAAGGGTAAAAAAGACGAACGACATTTTGCTAAGGAAATTCATGCTTTTTATATAGTATATAATAATATAGAATAGATATATAGATATAGATATGTACATTAAACTTATTCAAGATTTAATTTTGATAGATCAACCTGCTCTTACCATTGAACAAATTACACTCTTGAAATTATATATTGAATCTTTTTTGTTGTTAATTTTTTTACATAAATATTTAGTGTGGAAAATATTGAAAGTATTTATACTTATTAACTATATGGTACATCTTCCACTGCTACTAGATATTTGATTTGATTATATACCATTTTATAATTACGAAAGGAGATTAGAGATTTATTTGGGGATTAAATCAAACAAAGAAAAAAGTACTTATTTGAGACAAAAGATGGACATAAACTCATTGATTAAATCAATTAATGATGAAAAGAGGGTAAATTTTAGACAAATATAATCTACTCTAGATCTAAGCACCATGATTGTTGAAATCCAAGAGATTGAATTTATATAACAAATCTCAGATTTAATGGAAGGCATTAAATGTATATGATAAGCTTACAACTTCAACATATCGTTTCGTATTTGTAGAAATAAAGAGGATAAAGGTTGATTCTTGTTGATGGACACGAGATCTAGCTTTATAGATTCAACGAAGGGGATTGCACAAGCTTGCGATCCTGTACGTGAGCTTCTTCAAATCAAAGTTGAACTTCTCCACGAGTCTTCATCCCCATTTTAGTTAGGGCAGATGGCCGAAAGGATCAATGCGTTATTGGAGGAGTGCTCTCCATTTCCACCGTTGATGCAATAGAAGCTCTTAGTGCAATATCTGGTGGTGAAGACATTCCTGCTGCTACAATTGGAGTTGACGGTCCTAGTTCTGTTACAGTAAGAGTTGCTGCTGGAATAACCAGTGCTAGTTACTTGACTGTTGGAGGAGAAACCACTGTTACAAATGTTCACGTAGAAGCTTCTCTCAAGCGCCCTAGTATACTCTACTTGTTCACCTGTGTCGGTTTGGGGTACGGTCAGTTCACCGGGAGGAACGCCCTCCCAATTCGAAGTTTTTTCCTGGAAGTTTCAACCTTGTTGACTATGACAACAGTCGTGACTATAAATTTCTTCTTCTTCTTCTTCTTCTTGCCCCCGGAGATCTCTTCTATCTCCTCTCTCTCGGTCCTCACCCTTCTTCTGCTTGGCCTTCCTTATATATATTGTCAATTTCCCCTCTTACCCAATGGTTCTTAACCAGCGTGCCCTCTCATGGCCGTACTCCTTCCTTACCCGCCCATGTGTTACGTTCTGCCGCGTAAGCCTTTTGATGGCCTGATCTCAACAGTAGCCGAGATACTCGTCACCATTACGCCTCGTGGGCACGACCATGGCTTGGCCGACCTCTTACCGTTTCCTTTAATAATAACCATTTGATGGTCAGATTTTGACCTATACACAACCTTACCCGTGGAAGTACACTCAATAACCATTATATTATGAGATTTTTTAATCTTGCGTGTATATATGAATTGTTTGAATAGTTTTAAAAAGATATAACATTATTATGTATGGTCTATGGAAAAAGGCATGAGCACATGTGAACCACACTACTTTGATAGACTATTGTTTATACTCGCACAAAAAAAAAAAAAAAATTAAAACAGAAACAAAATATAAAGAATGGCTTTAGAAAGGGCATATCTCTATAACATTTTGCATGATATTTCTCCAACTCCCCCTTCCTCTCTTCTCATTTCTTTTGTCTTGATGGTAGATAGTTTTCAAATTTTTTAATGATGTCAGCCAATAATAGGAGAGTTTCACGATCCCACCAATCAAATTTCCTAAACCGCTGCATCAAAATCCAAAACCACTACTTGCAACTCCTGTGGACCCACACCACACCTCCACCATACCTAAGTTCCAGAACTTTCCTCTCATATTCTGAAGAGAACCTTCCCCTCCTCCCAATTTCCCAATGAGAGACTACATATTAAAATAATTGTATAACTTTATTTTTAAAAAAAAATTGGATAATTACATATTAAAATATTGAATAGAAGAGAAGCACAAGGAGGAAGATGCTCACTCCCCAAATGCCTAGAAGTCTAGAAACTTCCATCAAAACTATTTTACTTTTTATTATCCCTTCTTAAAAATAGGAGGTGGGTTGCTGTTCTTTCTATTTATATCCCTTTTAACACTTACTTCCAAAGCTTCTTTTATCCATGGTGTCTCTTGTTTGTTTACTCAACTGCTTAACGGCATAAACTACTTCAGATTTCCAAAAGTCTAATCCAAACTTCTTTTCCTGATTTATACAGAATCATAGTACTTGATCAGTTTACATCCTTCATTTTCTTCCCAAAGGTACAATCTTTTCTACTGTTTTTCACTCCCAAACACTCCCTTAAATTTTGGGTTGTCCAAATCATCCTAACTTCAACAACTACTACAATGATGAATCCATTGTACTTGGTGAAAGAGGAGTACCCCGGATCAAGTTCCGGAGGTGGCGGCGGTGAGCCACCGCCGGCGGTAATGACACCACCACAGCCAAAGGAGGGGCTACACGACATCGGTCCACCACCATTCCTGACAAAGACATATGAAATGGTGGATGATTCAAGCACAGATCATGTTGTTTCTTGGAACAGAGGTGGTCAAAGCTTTGTTGTTTGGGATCCTCATGCCTTCTCCACTAGTTTACTCCCCAGATTCTTCAAACACAACAACTTCTCTAGCTTTGTCAGACAACTAAATACTTATGTAAGTTGTCAATCTGGTCTTTATAATACATCTTGAAGTGGGAAATTTATTTTTCAAATTAGTAATTATTATTATTGTTATGTTTTTTGGTGCCATAAAAGTTGCTCCTGATTGCTAAATCTTTGTGAACACACAAGTGAATCCACCTTATGGCCTGCTTCAGTGTTTACAAGGTTATTAGTAGGAAGGAAAATCTCAAAACAAAATTCCCACTTTTACTGTTTACTTGCCTATGTGAAACTTACCTTTTAGAATTGTGTTCTTAATTTCAGACGAATTAAGATATTCAAAAAAGGTCCTCTCTGATCTGGATGTTCAAATGATGCTTCCTTCAAGTTCTCAGCTGGTTGGTAAAACCTATTAGTAGTAAAATATTTATCACAAGTTGTGCGGACCAAAAAGAAAGAAAGAAAAAAAAATTCACAAGTCTCAAGATTCAAGAATGGTTTGCTATCAGAAGAAAAAAGACAAAAAGATAAGATAGCTCTTGCAAAATTGGAAGATTATACTGAGCTGTAGATGGAATTTGATTGTTGCAGGGATTTAGAAAGATTGATCCAGAGAAATGGGAATTTGCAAACGAGGCATTTCTAAAGGGAAACAAGCAGCTTCTAAGGAATATCAGGAGACGAAAAACAACTAATTCTCAGCTTCTGCCTACAGAACAAGCACTTGGTCCTTGTGTTGAATTAGGAAGGTTCGGATTTGATGGAGAAGTTGATCGATTGAGGCGCGACAAGCAAGTCTTAATGATGGAATTAGTGAAGCTTAGACAGCAACAACAAAACACTCTATCTTACCTTCGATCTTTGGAGGTTAGGTTACAAGGAACGGAGAGGAAGCAACAACAAATGATGAATTTCTTAGCAAGAGCTATGCAGAATCCCGAGTTTGTCCAACAGTTGATCCGACAAAAAGAGAAAAGAAAAGAACTAGAAGAGGCTATAACTAAGAAAAGGCGACGAACTATTGATCAGGGGCCTAGTACATTAGATGTTGGAGGATCGAGCCATCCCATAAAATCAGAACCTTTGGAATTCGGAGAGGGTAGTGGATTCCAAGTATCCGAACTTGAAGCACTTGCTTTAGAAATGCAGGGATTTGGTAGAGCAAGGAGGGACCAACACGAAGAAGAGACGAGAGAAGGGCTCGAGCAATTTGGCAACACTGATAGAGAACTCGATGAGGGATTCTGGGAAGAGCTATTTAACGATGAGGACGTGTCTGGAAATGAAGATGGTGAAGACGAAGATGTAAATATCTTGGCAGAGAGGTTGGGTTTCTTGGATTCGAGCCCTTAGTAGAAGCCCGTAGACTAATTTAGTCGGTGCAATTTTCCGAAAACTCATTCATCTGCTGGAACAGATCATATAAAATCTTGTATGGACCTACATTGTTTTATTTACTACTCTTACTATTCAACTTATATTTCTTGATTCTGTGTAGTTGGTTCTTAAGTGTTCAAGGAAGAAAGCAGCTAAATGGATCGACTGGCTAATCTTTGGTAGTTTTTCTTCTGGAACCAATATTCCAGTCCCTTTCTGTGTAAATTTAGTCATAACATATTAGGATTTTAAATGTGATTTCAACTTTTTGCAATTGACAGGATAGATTCATGAAGCACTCAAGAGTCAAGTCAGAAAATCGCTTGTTGGTGCTTCTGGTTACTTTAACATTCTGAATTACTGGTTCCCTTCCACTGCCTTTATTACATCTCAACTTCTCAGTCTCGTTTTTCTCTGGATCCAAATGCAGGCATAGGTTATGCAGATTTTGATCAAGTCTCTTGGTCTTTCAAGGTTATTGTAAATTCTCATTTTGGGTGATATATTGCTCATTAAGTAATTTTGCAATATTTTGTTTATGTGGTTTTTAGATTGCTGTCTTGATGATGAAGCAGTTAAAAGTAGAAATGCCAGTTACTCCAGAATCAAGATTTTATTGAAGTGGCCGTTTATAACTACTTTTGCCGGTAAAGATTCTTGTTGTCAGTTAGGGGTGACAAACCAGCGGTTCGGGTAGGTCGGATATAGACGGATAAAATATTCGACCCTACCCATATTTAATACGGGTAGAAAATGGGTTGCCTATTTGGTTTGGAGGGTGGTAATCCATACGGATGGCCTGGGATCGAATCTCCCCTCAATGCTTTCTGGGTAGAGCCTGTCGCACTGGAATTGCCTAGTGCGGTTTACATCCCCTGTGTGGTTTGCAGGCTATTACACAGGGGAGGTTTACCTAGTGTGCACAAAGTGCTCACCCGAAGGGCAGAGGCTGTGGCAGAGGTTGTAGCGGCTGCAAGTTTCCCCTCTTACCAAAAAAAAAAAAAAAAAATGTGGCCATCTCTATTTGTGAGAAATGTGTAAGTTCATGGTCCTAACTCATTAGTCCTAACAAAATTTGCTTCTTTTAGCTGGCCCCGTGCTAGCTAGCAAGTCTATTAATTTTTTTCCTTTCCTTGCGTCTGTTGTTTTCAACCTGTCTTAGGCAAATACAAATTAAATTTAGGACTTTAAAAATGAGTGTGATCTTATTACATTATTCGTTTCAATTCACTTTTTCATTCATTTATACACAGTTCAACCGAATCACAATTAACTTCAATTGAATTATTGAATTAGTCGATGATCTGTCTATGTGATTTATGGGGGGAATTCATGCATTAATGGAGTGGTGACACTTGTTTACTGATGGAGTATCGTTGAAGTTAAAGAGTATCATAGAAAATTTCAGTTGCTAGTAGTATAAGTTTCCCCTCCTAGGAAACTTGTCAGGTGCAATATTACGAAAGCGTAGGTCATATCTACTTCGCATAATTGGGCGTAATAATTTTAATCTAGCATATCTGAAATTGAGTTGCTAAATAGTTTAGTGGGTTTAATGACAGAGCAATTCCAGCGCATCAAAATAAAAAAAAAAATCTTGGCATAATTAAGTCAAATGGTGCATTGAGGAAAAAATGGAGGGGCAAATGATGAATCTTATTATTTTTAAAAAAAAAGGAGAAAAATGGAGAGGTTTTGGACTTTCTTATTTATGTCTTTGCTTTCTCTTCTTTTATTTCTTCTCCCTTTTTAAGTATTTGTTTTGTTCTCTTCTTCATTACTCCTTATTTTTTCATTTATTTAAATAAATCATCGTTACCCTAAATGGAGAAGAGACTAGCCTGAGTAAATTATGATGATACGTGGGCAAATTAGAGAGAATATCATAGAGAGTGGAAGACGTTGCGTCGATGGCAATTGAGGTAAATAATAAGCTTTTAGCAAACATTTTGTCCACGTCTCCCTGGCCTTGAAGGGTAAAAACTCATTCGCACCGGATGTTTACACCAAGCTAATAAATGAATGACATTTGTCACTTATTTAACTATAATGATTTTTAATTGTTACGATCCTAATTTTCCTGCGTTGGGTGTCGTGATGACACCTAGTCTTAGGGACTAGGTAAGCCTAACAACTTTTGAAAATAATAATAAAATAAATAAAGATTAGCAATTCCAAAATTAGAATTCTCTATACAAGTATTACAATCCCAAAATCGGTAGTACAAGTCATAAGCTCTACAGTTCTTGCTAGAAAACCTCTAAAAACAACTGTTCCGAAATAGGAGTAAACAATGTAAATACAAAAAACTAGAAGGTAACTCCGAAGCCTGCGAGCGCAGCAGCATGTTTACCTTGAGTCTCCACCGCAAGATCTGAACAGCTAGCTAACGATCGACTGACTCCGCAATACTTGGGTCTGCACAAAAATGTGTAGAAGTGTAGTATGAGTATACCACAACGGTACCCAGCAAGTATCAAGACTAGCCTCGGTGGAGTAGTGACGAGGGACAGTCAAGACACCTACTGGACTAAATAACTTGAACAAGTATAAGTGTAGGACAAACAGGAATACAATATCTCTATAAAGCTATGCATAATGACAACGATAATATGGTACTTGCAATAAGAAATATAAACAACAATTAGCAGCGGAACACAACAAGTAACAACACAGTAAGGTAAGTTGGGCACAATCTAAACCCGGAGAACATAACTAAAAGAAGGATATGTATCAACTAGATGAAAATAACCGCTTTCACATCAGGTTTTATCCAATAATCACCACGAGGCACCGAACCTCAAAATATTCATAATTTACGGGTTCCAATTTGTGAACCCTAAATATTTGGCATCTTGTGCCTTCGCTACAAACAATAACTGCACGGACGACTCACGTGCCAATAGAACCAGATGAGGGTGTGTATCAATACTCAATAATATCAAGATCCGTCTTATTAACCAATAAGAGTGATTAACTGCGTGTATGCTTGTGCAAGTGTTCTAACATAGTTCATGCCAGCTAGTAAGTATAGAGAAAATGGACAGCACGTAAAATATTTTTCCACAATTTTTCACAAGATAAAACTCGCACAAGTAAGTGAACCACTACACAAATATCAACAAAAAGAATGCCCCCAGGCCATTGCAAGTCACCGCAAATCAATCCCTGACATAGCCCACCTTGTCTCGCCACGTGTGCAATTAGTAAAGTAAATGCCCGCCTTGTCTCGCCACACGTGCATAATAATATTCCTACCTTTTCTCGCCACATGTGCAACACACGCACACGCACACACACACACACACACACACACACACACACACACATATATATATATATATATATATACATATATATATGTATATATATATATATATATATATATATATATATATATATATATATATATATATATATATATCCCGCCTTATCACGCCGCATGTGCAAATATCAATAGTAACAATAGCACGGCAGAAACCTCGTGCAACCCGATAACACCGCATGGCAGAAACCTCGCGCATCACAATAACTGCCGCACAACAGAAACGTCGTGCATCACGATAACAACCGCACGGCATAAACCCCGTGCATCATAACAACAAGTACAACAACTACAATGACAGTAATACAGGAGTATGGCAATTAAATAAACTCGGGAATTCTAAAACTCAGAGAAACGGAAGAACTAGTTCACAAGGAATAGACACAATAGAGAATGCTAGTCATAATAAGAACAACTCATCAAAGAAAAAAAATAATATGTAACAACGATCCCACAAAGTACAGTTCAACAACAAGGAAGATATCACGAGTCAATAATTCCAATAAGGATAAGTCAACTAAGATATAGGATACCTAAACTTCTTTTAAGGTTGAGCAATCACGAAAGAAATACTACAAATTTAAGAATAGGCAGCGGGAAGATAATCATAACCTCAATTAAGGATGAACAATTACAGAAGACATAATAATAATTTTAAGTAAAGATAAGCAGTTGGAAAGATAGCATAGCAATAGGAGAGGTAAAAATCTTCAGTTAAGTTATATAAGAGTCAAATAGGCAATAAGAGTAGATCATGAAGCAATTAATTCCAATTAAAGCAGGTAGAGGTGGGACTAGTAATTAAGAAAACTTAATCAGTACAAAACAACTTCATACTTAGTGAGTACATGGACCTAAGAACCCTAAAAGGCCAACTTTCTACAAATAAGCCCGAGCACGTACTCGTCACCTCGCGTACACGGACTTCACCAGATACAATTAGCATAGAAGACTCAAATCCTAATGGGTAGTTCTCCCACACAAGGTTAGGCAAGATACTTACCTCAAAGAAGACAAACCGATACTCAAAAATGAACTTCTAGGGTGAAATAACCTCCGGACGGCTCAAATCTAGCCAAAATAACTTCAAAGCATAAATAAAACTCATAAGAAACTATTCCGGATCATAAAGCCTCATTCTTTATCAAAAACTAAAAATCAACCCAAAAGTCGACCCCTGGGCCCGTATCTCTGAACCCGACAAATTTCACAAAATCCAAACACTCATTCCGATATGAGCTCAACCATACAAAAGTTATCAAATTCCGATACCATTTGGTCCCTCAAATCATCATTTTTCATTTTGAAAGTTTTTTTTCAATTTTCCCCAAATTTTTCACTTTGATTCTCACCATTTTGATGTTAAAACTCAAATAAAATCATGAAGTATACTTAGAAATTGATCAAGGGCACTTACCCAACGATTGTAGATGAAATTCCTCTCTCAAAATCGCTCACTCTCGGACCTAGGGTTCAAATATATCACAAAATGAAGCAAAAACCCGAATTACACAGCTAAAAACAAGCTGCAGATGTCGCATTTGCGATCCAGGGTTCGCAATTGCGAACCCTCGCAAAAGAGAAGAAGCCTTCGCAATTGCGAACAAGAACATGGCTGGAAAAGGTCGCATTTGCGATAAGAAGTTCGCAATTGTGAACTAGGCATCGCAATTGCGATAGAAATGTTCGCAATTGCGAGCACACTAGAAACCAACAGTCTCCCCGACACGGAAATGAGCATAACTCCGTCATATAATGTCCAAATTTGACAATTCTTTTTGATATGGATCCGTAATTACGATACGGATCTAATGGTTCATAAAAACTGAATTTGGAGCTAATTCGCTTAATGTGGTACCATTTATGCTCGAAGAAACGACGATGAAGCATATAAAACAAGCGCAACACAACCTAAACCTATCCGAAACTCACCCAAGCCACTCGAGACCGCGTCCGAACATACCAACAAGTCCCGTAACAAAACACAAACCTAATAGAGGCCTCAAATCATATCAAATAACGTCGAAATTACAAATCGCACCAAGAATCGAACTTATGAACTTTCATATCTTCCAACTTCTAAAACGCGTGTCGAAACCTATCAAATCAACCCGGAATGACGTCAAATTTTGCATGCAAGTCCCAAATGATATAACAGAGCTGTTAAAACTCTTGGAATTGCATTCCGACCCTGATGTTACCAATGTATACTTTTGGTCAAACGTCTCCACCTTCCAAACTTCAACTTTTCCAACTTTCACAGAAATGCTTCAAATCACCCTACGGACCTCCAAATCCATATCCGGACGCACGACTAAGTCCAAAATTACCATACGAAGCTGTTGAAATGATCTGAAACCCATTCCGGAGTCTTTTACACAAAAGTTAAATTCCGGTCAACTCTTACCGCTTAAGCTTCTAAAACTAGAATCCTTCTTCCGATTTGACTCTGAATCATCCCGTAACTGAAGTCGACCATGTACGCAAGTCAATACACATAATACAAAGCTGCTAAATACCTTATGCCGCCGAACAGGACTTAAATTCTCAAAATGATCGGCCGGGTCATTACATCCTCCCCCTCTTAAACAAACCTCCGTCCTCGAACGTGCAAAGAATCGTGATAGGTTACAAGTAATTTGGTTATAAGTACTTTGCTTTATGTTTTGATGATCTAACAAACTTACTATCCAGAACTAGATAAAGAACCTGTTACACATTTACAAGACCTTAAGATCACAAGGTTCTAGGTTGGGATCCAGCTTGCCTTATGATTCAACTCTTCAGAGTGGAAGGAATAGCTGAGGGAACAGGTCCCTACCAGTTCCCGAGGAGACTGTACGAAGTCAACTCTCTAGCTGGAAAGTTGCTGCCTGCACACGCTACAGTGCAGGAACAGTGATGCAGTCAACTTTCCAGGGAAGATT